CCTGCTTTCCTCTCTCTACACATTTTGTTCCTTCCCCTTCCCTACACAGGAATTTAATTTCTGCAGCATTCTGGTGGCTCTGGGTCCCCCGAGTGACCTTCCTTCAGAAATATTTGAGTGGTGATGAGAGTGATACAGAGCTCAGACCAAGGGGATAAGACCAAGAAGAAAAAGTAAGGTTGGGAACTCTATTAAATGGGCCTAGGGAGTCTTTATCTGCAGTGGAAATGGACTGACCATCTCCATGTGTTTATTAACTTGATTGAAAAAACTTTCTGTTTTACTCTTATGGTTCTACTTTTCATAATGGGCAATGAGTCTTTTGTTTCTACATTTGGTCAGACAAGCCCATCTGGATATAATGTAACAATAAAGCTCTTTATCCTGTTGTGTGTTTTAGGTTTGCATGAACAGACTTGTAGCCATAAAAAGGCACGGTGAATGTATGCACTAGCCACATCTCCTGGTAATATAAAATGTTAAGGGAAACATCCTTGTGGGCAGCTTTGCCAGTATTACTTATTCCATATGGCTTGACCATTCTGAATCACGATATAGGAATGACTGTATCCAATGGAAAAGTGAATGTTGTTATTACTTCCATGGGGATGGTAAATGAAAAGCTGTTCTGCCTTTTCAGGGAAAATTCCCTAAATCTTGAGTGAAATGATAAAAGCAAGACCTGGTTAGTTGTTTTTTTCTGATTTAATCCTTGCTTGCCTGTTTGCCAGTCAGGTTATCCAGGCATCTGTGCTTTACCATCACTATAGTTGAAGCATAAATGTGCATGCAGCTAATGTGTGTGTGCAGTCCCATAGTTACAGATGCAAATTTGCAAATTATGCAGGTAAATGAATACCCATACTTACATGCAAATTGTATGGGCTGTATTTTTATGCAAGTTCTTATATCTGTAATACATACAGTTTAATGATTAAAGCATTAAACCAAACATGCAAAGTGCTGCAATACACTCTGGAAGCATTTTTCAGTTTACTAATTCATTGTCTAAGATGGTATATGCAACAATCTCTGATATTCAGAAAAATGGAAATTCTCTAATAAAAATACTTTGCTCCCATCTGTCAACAACTCCTGCATAAAATTTGGTGTATATTTTATTTCAATTTGAATACACTACTAATAGCACTATTTCTTGATTTTAGAAGTTTTTTGTTAGCCTGTATATTGTTTTCAGTTTTTACATCATGGGTTCACAATGCCCTTATTTGGCACAGAAAAATATGTTTAAATAATGAAGTGGTGACAAGAACTGGGAAATCAAAGCTATATGATATTTCTGTATAGAGTACAATATTGTGGCTGGATCAAAAAGCTTTGAAAAAAATAAAGAGTCTAAATGTGCACGGTAAATGTCAGTATAACCTTAACTACAATGGTGTGTCACTATCTGCCCCTGGAATAAATTTTTCTTTCATTTTCATGTCATCGGACATCTGGAGATCACACGTCACTGTAGCAGTAGCAAATCATTACTGATTTTTTTTCTCCTCCAAATAATATTGTTCCCAAGTTCTATATTCCATGCTTGTAGTAACCTACAATTACTACAGCCAATTTGGCTGAACAAATATGAACCTGATTTTCTCCCACTGAATGAACAGGCAACATTTTTTCAATGGAGTCATTACAGATTTGAATTTGGACCAACAGGAGTTTTGTCTTTTAGTCATAAGTAGTACAATCTTACTTAGGTCTGGGAAATGTTGAACTGTCCATTAGGCCCTACAGCTGTGCACAGAAAATAACCAAGGTTGTAATTGTTTCCACTGCCTATGTACTACATTTTCCATTCAACTTCTTCAGTAACGATTGAATTAGCAAAGGGCATACAATAAATTAATTCACACGAAGTAAGTCAATATCAAGATGTAAGCTTGGTTGCCTCAAACTCTAAAATGTCTATTCTGTTCATATGGTGCATTTTCCTACTTATCTTAGTCTATTAGTTAATAATGGTAGCAGCATGTTGCTGGGATAGTATCTGCTGCAAAATGTTGCCAACAAATGTTAAAAGAAAAAACCAGCAAGTTTGCTGTTCTGGTGAGAAATGTGTGGAATCAAGCTCCTGTTGAGGAAGATTAGGATTACATTAGCTCTCAGCAGTTGCCTGGTGATGTTTGCATTACAGAAGCAGCACGTTCCTTTATAAGGTAAATACTCAATTCAGATTATTTGCTACCCTGTCAGAATGAAGAACTACTTCTGAACACTTAATAGGACAGCTCATGTATCTAGCAACTTAAAAATAACTGATATTATGAATATTAATATTAAATAGACAAACTCCAACAGATAAGAATGGCAAAGATATTCATAGCAACAAACTTGTTTTGAATGAGAACTGGGTAAGACTGAAAAATGCTGTCCCCCATTTACAGCTCTTTATACATGCTTAACAAATGTAAAGAACATTCAGATAAATATGGGCTCTTATTGGCAATCACTGCTTGGACATATGAATATTCTAATAGCACTTGAGACAACTAACCAGGTCATGCTTTTATCATTTCACTTAAGATTGAGGGAATTTCCCAGGTGGGCAGGGGGGGAAGTGGCAGGGAAAGGGCAGCAGTGGAGTGGGAGTGGTGGTGGCAGTGGCAGGAGAGTGAGTGGGCACAGAGGAATGATGGCAATGGCAGGTAGGAGCAAAGTGGCAGCTGAGCAGGAGCATGGGGCCCACGCTGATGCCCCAGGGCTGGGGCTGGGTCCAGGGCCAAGGCCAGCAGGGATCCAAGGCAGGGCGGCAGGAGTGTGGAGCCTGGGCTAGCAGAGTCTGCCTGGCTCCATTGCACGGGGCTTGCATGCAGTTTCCAGGTTCTCCACCAAAGCTGCACGCCTCCTGGGGGAGTCCCACGCAATGGAGCCAGTGCCCTGGCCCCACTCATGGCTACACGCAGATCCTGGGGAATGATGGGGAGCTCCGTGTTATGACAACACTGGCTCTACCCCTCTTGCTGCCAACCTGGCTGAGCCCCATGATCTGCACCGCTGGCTTCATCTTGCCACGTGCAGTCACTGCATCACTGTCAGGGGGCTCCACCTGCTGCTGCCACTGGCTGCAGGGGCTATGTGCAATGGGGGGGCGTGCTTTTAGGGGGACCCACACACACACCCACCCCACCATACACATACACCCCCCCACACTACCCTTCCACATACCCAACTCACACCCCACACACGGCTCCCTACAAACCCCATACCCACTCACACACATCCCCACAAAGCCCCCTATATCCACCCACATCCCCACCCCACACACACCCACAGCCCCCAACAAAACCCATACCCATCCACCCACACTGCCCACACTTGCCTACATTCCCCTACAAACACATCCACACACACACACTCTCCCCTACACACACCCCCACATTCATACACCCAGAGCCCCCCACAAACTCCATACCCACCCATACACTCTCATCCCCCCAATATACAAGAATAAGACCTCATTTTGAGTTATTACGCAATCACCTCTATACACGATACAAACATGTACAAATCAGGACAAAAATATTTTTTGAAAAAAAAAATGTTATTGTAGATGTTTGATTTTTAGTGTATAATTTGTTTGTTTTTTTCTGGTTCCAAGATAGGAAACGCCCTTCCCAAAAGGTTTACCTCTGGTCCCAAGATAGCACCTGGGACAGGGGCAGAGTACCTGTCAAGGGACAGAGCTACCCTTGCAACCCTTGACAGCTCACCAGAACTCATTAAGTGGCCCTCCAGCTGATATAATTGCCCACCCCTAGAGTAAGCAATTGATGCATCTTCAGCAAAACCAAAGAGGTGATTCTTCTGCTCTACTCAGCACTGGTGAGACCGCAGCTGGAGTACTGTGTCCAGTTCTGGGCACCACAATTTAACAAGGACATGGACAAGCTTGAGAGAGTCCAGAGAAGAGACATCTGTATGATCAGAGTCTTAAAAGGCAAGCCATATGAGGAAAGGCTGAGGGATCTGGGACTCTTCAGCCTGAAGAAAAGAAGGCTGAGAGGGGACCTGGTAGCAGCTTACTGCTACACTAGGGGAGTACATCAAGCACCAAGGGCTCGGTGAGCAACTGTTCACCAGGGCACCCAAGGGGAAAACTAGGGGGCTACAAACTCCTGGAAGACCAATTCAGGCTCAACATTAGGAAAAACTTCTTCACAGTCAGGGTGTCCAGACTGTGGAATAAGCTCCCTCCAGCGGTGGTGCAATCACCTACCCTGGAAATCTTCAAGAGGAAACTAGACAGTCACCTTGCTGGGTCACCTAATCACCAGTTATCTTTCCTGCTTGGTGCAGAGGGAGGGATCCAATGATCTTCCAAGGTCCCTTCCGGCCTTATAATCTATGAATCCATGAAAGCCTAGGTTTTGTCTTAACCTTTTTGGAGTCACCAGTAAATTCATGTATACAGAACCTTATATGTGTATAACCCTCTTCTGTAGAGATTACAGGGAAAGGCTTTGGCATCTATGGAGAAGGTTGGGAAAGGCAGTGATTTGAGTTGAGGCATACATCACATCTGGCTCAGGAAATGCTGATGAATGCAGTATTTCATAACCTGAGGTCATTATTATACATAAGGTCTTTGACTAGCAAATGGCATAAAAAGCTATGTATCTCTTTGTGAAAATGTGTAAAAGTAGCAATGAATGCAAACAGCCTCTTCCTCTTTACTTGCATTCCTACAAAGTGGCTTGTTTGTCTGTTCTTAAGATTATTGTGTTTAAAATTTTTAAACGTATAATCCAGAACCTAATAAACTCCCACATTTTACAGACTGAATACAGCTACTTTCAGTTGTCTTCAAACACTAGTTTCTTCAGATTTAGCACATAAAGTATTACTTTCTTTCATATGTTTCCAGTATGGTGTCACTATGTTTCTAACAACAGCAATTGTAATGAGTAAAGTATTGCTTCATCTTTGTACTTTACATCTCTTCTGAGAACTGTAATACCTACCAGACCTGCAAAAACACTTACCTTGCTTGATAGGCTGCCTGTTGGAGAATGTCAGAGGAGAAACAAGGAATTTGGTTTCAGCTACAGGAACCCAGTGGTGCAGAATTTTAATTGTCCAGACTCCAGGCCGTAGTGGTAAATTCAATGGTGGTTTGTAGTGAGTAAATTCTGCGCTAGATTCTATAAGAATATCATACGTAGCTGCGATGACATTGACTGGATCCACCCAGATCACAGTAACTGTGACATTTGGGCCTTTCCCCCACTTCTGCATGCCAATGGGCTCGTCCATTGGCCCAATAAGTCCTCCGAAGTTCCGAAATACTCTTTCCTTGGCATCCCACTCAGTGCCAATCTGAAATTAAGGACATGATTGTTACTACTGTAGTCTCTGAAAAATAGCATCGGGCCTTCTTGCTCCAAATTCTATCCCACACCTGTCAACAGGACTATTCGTGGGTTTACAGTCAAGCACATGTAAAGGTTCTTGTACGTTAAGGCTTAAATTGATGTTATAAAACATAAAGATATACATGTATAGTACCTGCAGCCAGTGTTATTACCAACAAATAGTGACCTGTAAAGGCCTGTTATGGATATCTACCTGTAACTGAAAGCTTAATTGTGCATTAAGATACCCTGTTTCAAAAATTACTTCAGGAATGGTAATGATTGTTCTGATCTGATTATGGATGTTTGAGTAAACGTTTGACCCCATACTGTTTGAATGGAAGAAGCGCTCTCTTTTTGTCATTTGTTTTTTGTTTTTACTCTTAAAAAAGAAATTAATTTGGAAAACTCTACACTCAAAGGAAAGAAACCCCTGGCTCAGACTGGATTCTCATGCCATTTTGCCTAGCATCCATTTTAATCAAGCATAAAAAGCTGAACATTGACCACCACTACTGGAATCATGCAGTGTAAGCATGAGGCAGCTGGTGTCCAAAATAGAAAAAGACTTTCACTGACTTGAACAGAAGTTGAGTTATACCCATCCTACAATGAGATGCTGCCCACCCAACAAATCCCAATCACCTTCCTCATGGATGCAGCAAGCTATTTCTGGTAAGCCCTGTGATTAGTGTCATCATACTGAAGTTTTTTAATTATTATTATTTACTAAGTAACAGTAAAGCAGCTGATTCACAACCTACCATAAATATTTAATAGACCTTTCATTTTCCTAGCAGCTTTCATATTTCAGTGCTCTTTATATGGGTTTTAATGGCTCGCCTGTAACCCATGGGATAATATGAACTATAAGCCTTTGCAATTAAACACTGTACATTAGAGAGAAACATTTGTAAACAGGGAGCATGAAGGCATATATAATAGTTAGCTTCTGTGATATATTTTCATCCAAACACTGTATATAGCATGAGCTTATCTGTAACCAAGGTAGGTATACACAGACATACACACCACGTGTGTAAGATGAGATGTGCTGCATCTCAGTTGAGAGGAAGAATGGCCTAGTGTTCATCTGGGACACGGGAGAACCAGGTTTGGTTCTTTATACTGCTATAGATTTTCTGTGGGAACATCACTCTGTAAAATAGGGATACATCACTCTTACCCCATCTTTAAAATGGGATAATAGCACTTCCGTAGGGCACTGAGAACAAATATTTGAAAGATTATGCAGTGTTCTGACATGGTTTTGTGGACTACTGTCTCCATGATGCTGTAGATAATATCTACAAATCAGAATGCCTACAAGAAATCAACTCCTGGATAAAGAAGAGCCAGCTCAAACTAGACCCAGACAAGACTTAAGTGATGATGTTAAGAAACAGAAAGTGCTCTGAAGAATTAGTAAAGAGATTGCTTCCACTCTCCACTGAAGAAAGTCCTCATTTGTCAGCATGGTATGAAGCATCAAGATGCTATTTAACTCCTCAGTAACAATGGATGCCAGCCCTAAACTCATGAAAAAGAGATCTTGGTCAGGGGGATCTAACAGCCTTTCAGAATGGCAGGACACTTAAGTCTGATAGTCTGTAGGAAAGCTGCAAAAGCTTCCTCTCTGAAAAAGCTTTATCATGAGAATGACACTCTACCCCAAAAAATCCAACCAAGGGCAAAAAACCCCAACCAATCAAAAGACTACCTCAAGTAGAGATTTTACCCTGGAAAAGGGAGAAGTGCTAGCAACTCTATGAAATCCAGTAGAGACTTCTTTACTGCTACTATGACAATGCTTAGAAATTATAAGCTGGCATGAAGGGGACACTGGAAAAATTACAGGAAGAGTGCAGTGTGCTCTAGTGATGTCCAGCTAATGTATACAATTGGGAAACTATACCTCTATAGCATATATTAGAGCAACACAGGGATTGCCTCAGCCTGAACTGGGCAGTCAGTCTAAAGCAGGGGTGGCCAACCTGTAGCATGGGTGCCACAAGTGGCACAGGCAGCATCTGTGTGTAACACATAACAGACAAGGGAGGAAACAGGGTGCACAGTGTTAGAAAGAGCAGGAAGCAGAAAGCAGAGCAGCAGATCAGATAAGGGGAAAGGATCAGAGTGGCACTTGGAGAGGGTGTGGGGCTAATTTGTGGCATGCCTGCCAAAAAGGTTGGCCTCCACTTGTCTACAAGAATCAGAAAAACATAATCAGCTTCCTGCTGTGCCTCCTAACACATCCTCTTCAGGTTTGGTGGATTTCAGTGGAGAATTTAAGTCTTTAAAACTACAACCTTTTATAAGTAATACTGTTTCTAGCAATTTTTAGAACAACTTTTATACCTTCTTCTAAGCACTGCTCTACTGGGGGTCAGAGAACTAATTTTGTCATGGATCCCTAAAACGGTTTTAAAATAGTTTTTGGCTAATATTTATGGCCAGACGAGGTGGGTGGAATCAAAGTCATGGTAGTAGTCATTTGGGAGGAGCTCCACAAGTCACTTGCAGTTTTGATGCTCATGCGTAAGCAGCCCACACACTCGTACAGGTACAAATTCATACCTCATCATTTTGTATTTTATCATTCTGTAGGGACATATATTTGATATGCCATTATTTTAACATCCATTATTTTTAACTTCAAGAAAAAGCAGTGAGTGCTGGGTACACTTGTAAAGCCAGGACTCAGCCTTCTCCTTGGCATAAAACTACTGTTTTAATCCTTGTTCAGTTCCAAGATAAAATTTTCTTAAGATAAATTATGCCTTGATTATGGGTTTGTGTCTCATTGCTCACTGCAAACAGGACCATTAGGTTCACACAAAGCACACTAATTGCCTGCCACCTAGTTTATTTTATTCTCGGTGATGAATCACAATTCTTAACAAGGCCAGAAATGAATTTAGTTTTCCAGTGATATAGCCAGAGTTTAAGCCTTCTGGTACTTTTAATTTAATCAACTTTTTCCCTTTCCAGTGGTATTAATTTCAGGTTTCCAAAGAGATAGCATGAATTCAAGTTACTAGTCGATAATAAGGACATCTTATACATGCATGTTATGTAAGGCACTTTTTTGGGAGGGAGTAGGCTGAGGCTAGAGTGTATCCTAGGAATTATTCTCTTTCACACTTCATAGAAGAAAAAGTGCTCAGAATCCAGTGTGCAACTGTAATTCTGCCATTATTTTTCCCAAACTTGTGTGACTCAAAGCAGTAGCATTTTTGTATTGTTCACAGGATCACCTTTTGGTCCCTCCTTTGGACTGGTGAAATGTGGTCTTGGACTGTTGCTGAAAACCTGCTGTTCAGGAAGTGGAACAGGAAGAGCAAAGAGGGGTAGTGGCAGCCATTAGGATCGTAAAAGCAGCAGGGGTCTAATCGTAACCGTAGACATCCTATGATTCCTGCTGTAACACTCATTGTGTGCAGGGCCCAAAATGGCCATGGAAAACATTACGCCTTATCAGGGGCACTTTCTGAAGCAGCCTCTCCTGCTGGCTTCATTTGTGTAAGCCAGGAGAAGGATTGAAGCACTCAGCCAACAACCACCTTGCCAACTCTAATTCACTGTCTAATCACAAGAAGAAAGTTGTTAGAAAAGCAGCAGAGGTGTGTCATGATGCACACAAGCACAGTACTCTGAATACAGTGTGCAGCCACTTAGCCTATGACTTTTGCTCTTAAGACCATTGTAGCTCTAATCATAGGGGAACTGCTAAGTTTATTTCACAATCGTGGGGCCTCTTAGAAGTGATAAATGTTATTTATAATAAAGAAAGATCAATTCTGGGGTCTGTCAGTCTCGACTTAAGCCAGACAAGTTATTTTGGATTTATATTGGGGAAACTGGTCCAAAAATACATGTCCGCTGTCCAAGCTAAAGTCAAATCAGTAATTAAAAGGCGATGAAAACAAGTAACTTTTTACTTCCTGATTTTCTTAACATGAATCAACTCAAAGAGACAGAACAATCTGAGAATACAAGGGAGAAACAAGAATTGAAACAAACAACTTTTCATGCATATATCCATGCTTCTCTTTGTGACAAATGAAAATTTTCCTTCTAGAGTGAAGCGAGAGCACCAAAAGCCAAATTCTTCCTTGATCGCACTTATATGGGTCCCTTATCTAAGGACCTGTGGGCAGATTTGGGAGCCAAAACTTTTTGAAGGATTGACAGAAGTCCAGATTTGCTCTTTTTCTTATTCAACACTGTGTTTGAGAAAGGCTGGAACACTTTAATTTTAATATAGTTAGGCAATCTGTTTCTGCTTCTAGCACCTGTGTTTTCAAACTTAGAAACACTTAGATCAGGAATTGTGCTAAAGTAGGATTAAAAAAAACCCCAAATAAACCAGAGAAGTGCTACTACAAATCACAAGAAATACAGCTTGTGTGTCAATTTATCACAGCACAAAATGGCAAGTCAACCACCAGACACATTGATAAATGGAATGTACCCTGTATTCATCTCCTTAATGGGACATTAATGTCTTGGATTTGCCACGCACACCAAAACACTGAATCCTACCTCGGCCCTTCTTAATTGCCCAAGAAGATGTTAATTTATGGACTTGGCCATAATGACTGGGAACAAATTTGTTCAATCAATGTTATGCTTTAATTGAAATTTGTAGCTTAACAAGAAAAATCATGAAATTAAATGTTCAGACAGTTATATCTTTAAAACAGAACATAGATGTCAGGTTCTATTACCAGTCTACTTTCCAGATGTCTTTTAGGGGTTCATTTTTCACACTGTGTGTGTTAGATACTGAGGCAAATCCTATGAAGAAATAACAGGATTTGTGGGTAAATCTCAACTGCTGCTGTGATAATTTTCTCTTTGATGTTCCTACATCAATATTCTAGTCATGCATAGCATCAGTCCCTGACTTTTATTAATGTTAATTTTTATCAGTGTATTTGGGAGAAGGAGAATCTAATAGTGCACAGCGATTCCACCATAAAGTCTACCCCAGTCTAGAGCTGCAGTATCTTTAGGGTTTTTTTAGCCCAAAGTCCTTCTTAGAGGGGGAAATAAGCAACAGTGACCATTCCTGTGAAAAGATGGCCTTCAGCTCCCACTTAAAACAAGAAGAACACATTGCATAAAGGATATCACACAGGAAGTCATCAACATGATAGAGACTTGGCCAATAAATTAGAATTCCCATTGCTACCTCCTACAGAAAAGTATTTGTTCAGTCAACTTCTGAGTCACTCTGCCCTCAGATTTGTCCTCACGTATTCCAATATACTGTTGAGCTGGCATGCAAATTTATCAGTCACCTATAAAACCTGCTGAGAACGCGGTTATGAGGAACGCTTACCTCTGAGAACTGCAGCCTTCCAAAATCACTCGGTGGACTGGCAATTTTAAACACTTTCTTCGGCATCACCCAAGTTTCCAAAGTTTCTAGTTTACTGACAGCCAGATTGGTTGCATGATGTTTGATTAGGAAGCCCTGAAAACGGTCAGCAAGGAAGTAGAGATGGACAGAAACTGGATGGCCCATAGGATAATACCTGTAAAACATGTAGTATACACAGGTGGCATCACACTTAGGAAAGAGAGAGACATGGAATTACCATTCATGTGACGCTAGTGGCTTAAAATATATTTGATTCAGTTAAGAAATATAGTATTGCTTCATTAAGAAACTTTAAATATGTTCCTTCCTCATTATCAATTATTCTCAGGTTGTTCTTATCATTCCGAAACATTAAAATTCTTACTAAGAATATGCTAATTTGAAAGACATTCACAATTAAACCTCTAGAGTGTCTCTACATCCCAGAAATCTCCTATTAACTTTTTTTCTGCCTAAGAAATCCTACACGGAGACATATTTTACATGAAGGTAAGGAGTCCAAACTGCAGAGTTCAGATCTACATCCAGACACTTTTGTATTAAGGAGTACTTAGTTTTGAGGTCCCAATTCAAATGAAGGCCATGCCTAAAACTCCATTGAAAACTAATTCAGATAGGGAAGTGCATAAATGTGACCCAGTTACCGTGCCCCAAGTCTTGAAACCATCAGTCTAACTGCCCTAATTAGAGTGGGGTACTACAGCCTCTCACCCCTGTGCTTTTGCACACAGCTGATAGAGCTCCCCAAAACCTTTCTATTCCAGAAACTTACCTCTCCTGAGAAAACTCTGAATTCTGTGAACACTACTTTGCTTTAAATAAGATGCCACAAAAGTAGTGTTCTCGACAGAGTTACAGCCTAGCTGTTTATTTCTAATCACCGCTCTGTTCTGAATAGGAAGCCTTTCTCTTTAAAGACACAACTGGATTGAGTTGCAGAGAGAATCTGCCCCTTCCTGTCCCTGATCCTGTAAAGTTACTTGCATGTGCTTAATCTCGTGCGGTCAGAGCAATTCTGATGATTTCCTTGGCAGTACTCACACTGGCTCCAGTTAAACACTCAGATAAGACTTTGCAGGACTGGGGCCTTTTTTTGCCTCGTGGAGAACTGAGAAGTGTGAAGGAGAAGCTTTGTGCAATATAGTGCCAGGGAGGAAAGTTTTCCAGTCCATCAGAGAGAAATGGCAGTTAGGCAGTTTTGCCAGTTTACAGTTATTCTAGCGACAGTTTGGCAGCAGAAACGTTCACTGGTAACTCATAGATTCATAGATTCATAGATTAAGGGTCGGAAGGGACCTGGTAGATCTTCTAGCCCGACCCCCCGCCAGGGCGGGAGAACAACAAAAAACCCCAAAAAGAGAAATGGGACTCAAACGAGTCCAGCCAGGTAGGCATCCAGCCTCTTCTTAAAGACCCAACTCGATTACTTTCAGAAAATTTCTAACCCTTGATACTTCAGTCGGGCTTTGTTACCGATGTCCAAGTATAACAATTGTTACTGTAAGCAATAATGTCAAACAGACTACCCTTGTCCTACCTACCTGTGAACACTGAAATGTAGGAGTGGACAGTAAAGCACAAGATAGGTTTGCAGTCTCTGTGTCCCATTCATATCTGCTGTCTGTGTTTTATGCCTTTAGCATCATCTTAACCAAGTGCCTCTCATTGCTACAATAACAGTACGATAGTTCCATTTACAAAGACTTTATACTGGTCGTGTGGAACCAGTCCTTAGCCTTATTTTTACGTAGCACAAATTAAGAATACAAATTCGATGCAAATCCCTGTTTGTCAACTGACAAGGATCTTGTGCTTCTCAGAGATTTTTCCTGCTGCCATCTCCAGCCTCGCTCCCAAATTATTCAGTGATCAAACCAATGTCAAGGGCCTTGTCATAAAACCACCTTGTAGCATGCAGCAATTGGTATGTTTTTATCAAGACATCCACAGAGTGGGAACATAACAGGGTGTTGCAAATCAGAGTAGAGGCGCTGCACTGAACACAACTCAGAAAAGGCCATGTTTTATACATTGGTTTTGTCAGGGGATACTGGAAACAAGTTGTTGACGCATAGTTGAACAAAATGCCTTTCTCCTTACAGAAGGGCTTGATTTGCTTTTGCCAGATACTGTCCATCTTTCCATTTATTTAGAAAACATTAACAAGAAGGATTTGTAGAGTTTAGTTAAACTTGTCAAATAATGTTCACAGTCATAGGTTTAAACCAGGGGTGGGCAAAATGCAGCCATTGTATCTGGTCCGTGGGGCCCCTAAAAAATTTAGAAAATTAATATTTATTTGCCCCTGGCTGCCCGTCATGCAGCCCTCAATGACTTGCCAAAACTCAGTAAGAGGCCCTCCACCTGACATAACTGCCCGTCCCTGGTTTAAACATACGGCTAACTGAATATTTTATCCTCTGAATGGTTTTCTTAACAATACTATAAAGGGTACAATTATGGCTCTAAGCAGGATAACTGGACATTTTTGCAGTGCTGTAATTAATTTTGAAGCAAGTAAGTGACAGACACATTCTAAACCTCCTAGTATTATATCTGCCTATGAAAACTTGTTTGCTAAAACCTGACTTCCTGTGATGATGATGTATGGCAGGGAGCTAGGGCTGAAGACAGCTGACTAAGAACAATGTTGCATTATATAAAACCTATAGAAGCAAAGGTTGAAATTTCTAGAGCTTGAGAAGTAAGCATAGGAAGACAGAATACAAACAGGCCGACTCCAACGGAGTCTGCTACAAGACAACAAACAAAGCACAGGAGCCAACATAAGTGACAATCCAGCTTCTGTTCTGAATTGCAACGACTTTCCATTTTATGTGTGTCCAAGCAAATATTTATAATATCCATGAAACACTCTGACTAAACTGTCTCTTGGCAGCAACTGGTAAAAATATCACAGGGTGGAGAGAGATAAATTAAATCCCAACTCTCTAAGATGTTGATGCATGATATAACCTAAATTCAACAACAGTCGAAAGAGGCATGCCTTTGAAGCAGCGGGCTACAACTTGTTAGTGGTCTTCAAAGCAACTTCCCTTACAGAAATTTCCTGTGCATCAACTGGTGGCGGTATGGGATTGACGGAGTGAGCTCTTGTGCTGCAAAGCTTTCCTTCTACTGCCTGAAGCAGTCTCAAATGAACTAGGGTGGTGACTGCAGTATCTGCTGACTTCATGCAGTTGCAAGCCCTAGAGCAAAAGTGATTCTGCAGAGGAACACAAACCCAGCCCTATTACCTCTACTGCTGCCTTGGAGACTCTCAAAATTATGAGGGGGAGGGAGAGGGAGAGGAAGTCAAAGAAGGAAAGCAACTGCAAAGAATGGGATGGGATATGCCTTGTCAAATTAAAATTGGACAGGACTTGCGGCTGTGACCAGATATTCCTAGCCACGAGGGGGTTAGCCAAAGTAGCCAAGTGCAGTTTCCTTTGGACATCATAGACTTTCTGCCTTAACTTGCTTCATAGACTCTCTGTGTGTTGTAAAACAGCTATGTTTCATCCCAAAGGAGCAGTGTTTCAGTGGTGGATAAAATGATTCTCCTGTGTGTGGTGTGTGTTTAAGCCTGCAAATCACCTTCAGCTCCTTTTCAATGAAAGGCTCTATATAAATGCAATCCACCATTCATATAAATCATTGCTAAAATGCTAGCAAAAGGGAGAGGAAAAGTAATTGTTATATTGTTTTATTACTAGCAACATGTTGCTCCCATCCCCTCTTCTGGTTTTGTCGCTACACGCCAAATAACCATGGAATTTTTTTTTAGATTTGTCTCTACTTCAAATAAGAGATGATGTTCTTCTAGTGATTATTTATATCGAAGTGTTATCGATCTTTTACTGTTTTGCAGTAACCTTTATTGGAGTGGTGTAATGGAAATCTGGCTTACAAATTATCAAAGTTTTCCAAATGGGACTATACTCTGCCGTTTTGTGCTGGGAAAGTCACAAAGAACTGGGTTCCTACTCAAGAACACAGGACACATCAAACTGCAAGGAATATATTTAGCAGTCACAAAGTTAGACTGTAAGCATTCATCTGTCAGGATTAAAAGACAGACAAGTAAAAATGCAGGAGTAGGTATTTTTTAAAGTAGAGGGAGAATAGTTGTCTATCAGGGAAAGCTTTGAAGGCCTGTTCTGAAAATAAACCCTTTCACATTATGTACACATGGAAGACAAACAACTATGTTAACTTTGCTTTGAAATGAATGAAAGCAACATTTCTGTGTAATCGTAAAAAAGAAATCCTGAAAATATTCATTGAAAGGGATTTTATTTAGTAGGTTTGTGGAATAGAAAGGGTATCATCATTTGTTGCTACATTTTACATCACTGACCGCATTTTTGGCATAGAAAGCTCCAGTGACCTGTCCAGCAGACTTGACTGACCTGACCTGACTTCATGGTTCTGATTTTCCAGAGGGACAAAGATGACCACTAACATTCTTGGAAATACGTACGACTTATCACAGTTGACTGGCCCTGTGTTATGCATATGCGCTTCACCCTATATGACAAAACGAGTGAAATACCTGCAGTGAAGGCACTGTTTACACTATTGTAAAGCAGCACAACCACTCACACCATACATGCCAGGAGTTTCCAATATGAGGATCTGACCCCAAGTTCATTGAAATCAATGGGTATCAGGCCCAATTGAGAATCCTAAGAATCCTGCTTCCATTTATAAAAACGAAAAAAAACATTCAAACTAACCGGCAGCTGTTGTCTCCATCAGTGTGAAATGAAGTCTCAGCTCTCCTTAGGCCCAGGCGGGAAAATGAGTGGTACATGGTCAGCGTAATGTCACTGATGCTGTGAATACCATCAGGCTCATCATACACATTCTCCCAGTACGACCGGAGGCCTGGTGTGCCAGATGGATAGTTGCCATACAAATAATAATCCAATTGGCCAATTATTTCTTGATTCACCACAGCTTCAAATTTGCGGGCAAAGAACGTTGGCCTGGCAGTCTGCTGTGTAGACAAAAAAAAAAAAAAAAGATTTATGAGTAAGTTTCCTTTTGTTCTCAGGGACTTACCAATCTGGACAGAGAAAAAACATATGCTTTGATATGAGCATCACTGTTTAATTT